CATGCTGACCACGTAGTCAACACACCGGCATGGGAGCAAGGAAGATTTCAAGGAGAGCAGAGCCTGCACAGCCCCTGCCTGCGAGCAGACCGAAACGCTGCTCTGTACGGGCCGGCAGACGAGGTGCACTCCCCACCGTCCTCGCTTGCCCCTGGATGGCAAACCCTGCTCCCCCGGGAGCAGAAGGTAATGGAGAAGCACAGGCAGGACAGGACTACCTTCACACAAGGACACAGGCCACCTCCTTTGCAAGGGCTACGTGGGACCACCCAGATGTAGCTCAGGGGCTCAGCACGATGCTGAGGAGTCAAGCTGAGGTTAACATGGTTAAACTGGGCTCACAGAATTGTTTGAGTTGGAGAGACCTTAAAAGATCATCTAGTTCCAACCGCCCTGCCATGGGCAGGGACATCCTCCACGACATCAGGTTGCTACGAGCTTGCAGGGACATCCTCCACTAGATCAGGTTGCTCAGAGCTCCGTCCAATCTGACCTTGAACGCTTCCAGGGAGGGGGCATCCACAATTTCTCTGGGCAACCTGTTCCAGTGTCTCACCACCCTCACAGTAAAGCATTTCTTCCTAATATCTAATCTAAATCTACCCTCTTTCAGTTTAAAACTGTTATCCATCGTCCCATCACTACACTCCCCGATAAAGAGTCCCTCCCCATCCTTCCTGTAGACCCCTCTGAAGCACTGCAAGGCTGCTATAAGGTCTCCCCAGAACCTTCTCTTCCCTAGGCTAAACAACCCCAACTCTCTCACCCTGCCCTCACAGCGGAGGTGCTCCAGCCCCCCGATCATCTTCAAGGCTTGAGCAGCTCCATGTCTTTCTTATGCTGAGGACTCCCGAGCTGGACGCAGTACTGCTGGTGGGGTCTGACCAGAGCAGAGTAGAGGAGGAGAATCCCCTCCCTCAACCTGCTGGCCACGCTGCTGGTGATGCAGCCCAGGATACGGTTGGCCTTCTGGGCTGCGAACGCACATTGCCGGCTCATATTCAGCCCATATATTCTTCTGCCCAGCTCGGGAGGTGAAGGTTTGTCCCCGGCACCTTCACAGACACGGGACAGCCGGGTGGTTCCCATCCTGGGCTCCGCATGGGCTAGATACCATCACTACCTTTGAATCACAGGTGAGTCACTCCTTCTCCCGGGCTCTATTTGCCTCATCCTAAGCTCAGCTTGGGAGTTTCCAGCCTTTTGAGCAAGAGAGGCGAAGAGGGACAGGGCAGCAGTTTGCAAATCTGGTGTCACCCCACTGTAGAAAGAAAATTGCTCTCCCCACTTACCATCAGCATCTTCAGATCTGCCCGTTCTGCCGGATTTTTAATTAAGCTGAAATGAGAAGAACAAGAGAGCAAAACCAACGCTGAGACATTTCATCTGGGAAACCGGTTATCTGGCTGGAGAGGTCTCCAGCTTCACCAAAAACCACTTGGCCTCCTAGCTGCTTTCCCCAAGAGCCTGGCAGCATGGAAACGGCTCAGAAAGCATCGTCTCCAACAGCCCAGCTCCTAGGGAGAGCTGCAGGATCCGTCTCTTCTAGACTGTGTGGATGAACTGCGCCCTGCACATGGAGAAAAGGACCTAATGCTTGGCGGGGGTTAGTGATGTTTGTGATGTCTAATCTCTGTGATTTAACGGGAGCTGCGGCAGCATCTTCAGGTGTCCCCCCACCACATCAGAAGGTCTGGAAGTCGATGGTGTACGGCTGGTGCCTGCAAGGCTGTGGGGTGACTCACAGCCCCAGCAATCTGCTCCACCATCCCCCTGCCAGGCTCATATTTAGAAGGTGCTGGGATACTGCAAAGCATCACCACAAATAAACTGCTTTTAGTTCAACCCTTCCCAAGGCAGGAGTTCCCAGCACAATGCAAGATCACACTGCAGCCAGGGAGAGAGCACCTACAGAGCATGAAGAATATTGCGTTATGCTGAACGTTTTGGGTGGAGCGGCAGCCTGCAGAGGTGTCAGGGAGTACATACAGGCCTCCATCTTCAGCCATAAGATGAAATCCTTACCATTTATTTACAAACTCCTGGAAATCTTGTGTGAAAACTCCATTCGGCAGCTTGGGAGGTGGCTGCAGAGAAGAGAAGGGTTTTCTGCATCACTGTGTGTTAATGGGTCAAAAAGCAGAGTGTCACCTACAGTCTTTAATGAGCTGCAGAAAAGCTGCACCCTACAGCTCTCCTCCTCCTCCTCCTCCGAGCTGCCCTTCGCAACCAGGGAGCTGCTCCCTGCCATTTCTTACCCTGCAAACTGCTGCCCCAGCACCACGTGCAGCTGAAGGGACCCCACGCTGAATCACTGCCAAAGCTGGGAGACTGAAATTGCAGCGTCACAATTCCAGATCCAACCGTGCAAATCCCAGCTCTGGCAACGCCTACGGCGGACAAGGACATTCCAAAAACGATAATTGGGGGTCAACTCCTATCACCTTAAAAGGGGAAGTCGCTCTTTCCACTTGCTGGTGGGATGGACCCTACCTTTAAAGTCTGTTAGGACATTTCGGCCTGGGATTTTAGCACCGGTCACCCCCATTTAAAGGATTTTCATCTGAGAAAACGTGCACGACCTCAGCATCTGTGCAGAGGGAGCGTTCACCCTTTGCTGATCTAGGGAGGAGCACGTTTGAAACGGCCGGTTGCAGAAGGAGCAGGTCATTACAGCCAAGAGCTCCCCTCACTGCTCCCCTCTTTCCAGGGTATTATGAGCCTCCCCCTGCAGAACCTTATTCCAAAACCAGAGATACTTTTGTGATACAAAGAGATGGGAAGAGGGAACAGGGGAGAAGGAAAGGACGCCAGTGCAGCTCAGAGGGGCTCTCTATTGAAAAGCCCCTGTTGAAGCAAAGGTTTCGCAGCCCACCCTGACTCAGCAGAGTGGACACGACACTGTGGTACCTCAGGGAAGGCCGGCAGAGCCGATGGTAAAGAAACACCCACCTCATTAACTATATAATCCAGCAGTTCAAAAATGGCCATCGCAGGCCGGCTGTCCATCCCATGGCCTGTGTGATTAAGATGACAAAAACAGTGGTGAGAGGCTGTTCAGGGACAGCAAGGGGCCTCATTTCGTGTGAAAAGCATGTGTGCTGTGGGACTTTTGCTGGGAGAGGCAGAGGCAACCCACTTGGGAACTGACTCGCGGTTGAAAAAAAACAAAGAGAAAACCAAAACGCATTCTGAAATTTCAGATTTCTTTCACCGTGCCTATAGTCCAGATTTATTTCCTAGCTTGGAGCATTTGGAGAGTACCAGACCATCTGCTGTGGCAGGCTGGCAGTGCTTCTAGAGCCTTCTGCTTCCAAGCAAATGGCTCGAGCAGAGCCTCCTTCAAACCCCTGTGCCAGTTTGGTACTTCTATGAGAGCTCCCAGCAAAGCTGTTCCCAAAAAGCTGCCCCTAGCTTGAAAAGAACCTGTTGGCAGCACAGGCAAAGCCTGAGGAGCAACATGGGCTGTGACAGTGTCCCTCAAAGCATCTCCTCCAAGGGGTCCACATCCCAAAAGCCCGCACCATCCCCAGCACGGGGTGCTTTGCTGTGTGGCTTGAGCCTTCCTGTGGGACACAGCAGGGTCTAAAGGCAGATAAACTGAGCTCTTCAAAATCTTAATAGGCCCTGGTTGGCATCCTGAGAGCAATCTCCTCACCTCCCCATGCAAGGCCAGAGTCCCGCCTGCACTCATTAGGAATTACAAACCTCCGCGGTTCAGTGGATTCTGCTGGAGCATTGACACAGCTCCATCTGCTCTGCAGAGAGAGGCCTCCCTAGAAACACTCACCTCCCCGCCACAACCTCATCCACAACGGCCTTTGGCTAACCCAGCCACACCTAACAAAACCCGACCCCTTCTCCCCCACATCTGCGTGTTGTTTCCAATGCATACGACAGCCCCTACCACTGACGGGGCGTCCTGGGGGCCTGGCCCGCGGCGAGATGCTGTGAGACTCTCCCTCTGCCCCGTCCACCACAGGACGGCCAAATATTGCTTCCAGTTCCTTGGAGTCTGGCGGGGGGATTGGGTACCTTCCGATAGACAGCTCCACTAACGACAGACCCATGCTCCAGATGTCGGACTGGACCGAGTAGTGGGTGCCCTGCAACCGCTCGGGCTGAAAGGAAAGACCACAGAAACACACACTGACACAGAATATCAAAGTCATAAATATCAGGCATTGAAATTAAATAGATGAGACTTGATATCCTGATGGCCTCTCCATCTCAGCTCTCCACCCCTCCAGGGGAAGGACTGTCCCAAAGGCGTCATGTGCAAAGGGGATGCAAAGGAAAGATCATGTGCAAACATAAAGCACTTGGCATGCATCTCATCAACAGCTACAGTTGAGCAGCATTTACAGCTGCTTTACTTAGGAGACAGAGTACACAGTAGGAATCTCTCTCTCTGTATGCTGAGATCTAATGAACTCAAATCATTAACAAAATTTTTCCTGCTTATTCCGGTTAATACCCAAGAGGAATCTGAGGAGCAGAAAATCCACTCTAGGCTCTTACCATTGAAAGAAAAATAAATAAATCAATGCAAGTCATCCATACCAGCAGCTTTGAGTCAGCTGTGCAGACCCAGTGGCTGAGTGCAAAGGAGATATTATTTTTAAATAGCCACTGTCTAACTATAACTGTACTTGAATAACCATTCCCAAAATATGAGAGCAGCTCAGACCTAAGCACAGAAGTGTAGTCTGATGGCTTCCCTCGTTCCCAGCCACGACACGGGGCAGGGAGAAGACCTCCACCTACCCTCTGCCTTTCAGCCAGCAGGACCTGGGGACTTGGAGCCAGCCAGGAGGTAATGGTATTGTTACAGGCACTCTATTATCTGCAGTTGAGCTGATTGTGATTCTCACTTAAAGGAGAGGCACAATCAGCTCTTCCTGCAGTTCACTCTCACTGGCTGACTCCAATTTGGCTTTAATTTCCCATTAGCCTGTACCGAAACCCAGCTGCACTAAACTGGTTTTACCCCCATTTTGCCAGCAAGTGCACATGGTCAAAGCAGCCGAGGTGCATGTACCAGCATTTACATCCCCTCCACACTCAGTTTTTTGGATAAAGAGCTTTGCATGCAGAAAAAGATGATGTTTTTGAATCCACAAACACTCATCAAAATAAAATATGGAAGTATTTGTAGGATCTGAAACGTCTTTCCCTCTAAGTCTCTGCACTTCCACATGCACCACTGCTAGCCGGGCACAGGTCGGAGCCGACAGGACACCAGCTCCTCAAGAGGACGCAGAGGTGTCTGCTTCTCCGGCACGGGAGAGTGCCTCTGGGCTCACCCCCAATATGAACCAGGAACGGGGCAGTCCAGATGAGGATGGAAACACAGAGCAAAACCGTGAGCGAATCGGACACTACACGCTGACTCTAAGAGCAGAGTTGAACCCAAATTGTCAAAAAAAACCCCAAAACAAACAAACAGCTGAAAGTTGAAAGGAACTTACGGACATGTAGGACCGAGTTCCCACAAAAGAGTTTGCCATGGAGTCAATGAGTTGACCGCTGACCCCAAAATCACACAGCTTAATCTCTCCTCGAGAATTAACCAGGATATTAGAAGGCTTCACATCTGACAACAGCAAGAGAGAAGAGTATAAATGCGACTCCAGGTAAAATACAGGGCACTTGTACTGCAGGTAGTTATTTTTAGGTTCCTCCTCTCACCTCTGTGCATGATTTGGTGCTTCTCTCTCAGATACGCCAAGCCTCTCAGAACCTAGAAGGAAACCAAAGACAGGATGAGATCAGAGCTGGGAAGGGAAGCGCATTCCCTTTGGCAGGACACGTTGCATAAACTCCGGGTGCTGCCACGCTGCAGCTTGGCGAGGAAAGCCGCCCCGTAGTGTCCACGTGTTTCAGGGTTTGCAGTTTATCACCAAGTCAATCACAGATCTTGGGTTAACTGCCCGAGAAAGCTTCTCCCAAATCTCATCCAGGAGCAGTCAACACCAGCCAGTGCAACACAAGGGGTCGGAGCTATGGAGAGCGGTTGGGAATATGCTTTCCCCCTCCCCTCTCGCCCTAGGTCGGGATAGGAAAGCATATATGGGGAAACAAAGAAAGCCTCCCAGGCAACACAAGCATTATTCCCAAACCGTGCCCAGCAAATCCTTTCTGGAAGCCTGAAGAGCCACCGTAACTCACCGCTATACTGACTTTCCCCAAGATCTCCTCAGGAATTCTTTTGGCTTCTTTCAACACTTGATCCAAAGAGCCGCCATCCTAAAATAAAGAACAGCAAAATGACCAACACGCCAATCCCCGGCAGGAAAACAGAGCAGCTGGCTGTACAGGCAAGCATGCCCAGGGAGGGCAAGTGGTGTACAAGCAGTACATAGCATCCCAGCTCAGCTGTCTGCAACGACTCGGCATCGAGCACACTCCTTTTACAGGGGGGAGAAAAAAAAAAAAAAAAAAAAGATATCTGGTGATCAGAGCTCAAGCTTCTCACTGAAAGCTATTTTAATGCTATCTTCTAACAGCTCTACTTCTTACTATTAGTTCTTAGCTTCCTTTCCATCAGTGGTAAATGCAAAGATGCTACTGTCAGCGCTGATCCGGAGGGGCAACAAGACTGTTCTCCGCCAGAGCAACAGAAAACACACACTGTGCTTGACGGCAAGCTCTGTAGGGCGGCAGGTTTACAACATTTCCGTTTGGCCAACCCCCAAACCTCTGCTTCTGCTTTCCAAAAAGTCGATCTCTCTGTCATTTCGATGCCTAAGCAGGAGCGTGCAGCTCCTACCAGGAGCAGAGTGGCCTTGCTGCAGCCAGAGCAAGGAGCCATCATGACTGCCAGCACCCTAACCCATTTCACCTGCAATTTCAGGTCTCGGGGAGATGCAATTCAGAACAGTCCAGGGAGCAGCAGTTTGCAGAGGAGGAATGGGGACTCACCATGTGCTCCATGCAGATGGAGATCTCTCCGTCGCTGTAGAAGGCTCCATAGAAACCCACAATATATGGGGAATTACACTCATGCAGCACCTGCAGCTCTCGGATAATCTGATTCCTGATGGCCGGTTTGATTTCTAAATGAATCAGCTGCCAAGAAAGAGAAAATATTCAAGGTGTAATGCCTGGGAAAAAAAAAAAACCCACAACTTACAGGAACCTGTGAGCAAGTCCTGAGTGTTGGAAAGAAACAAAGTCTTCCAGGGAAGCTCTGCTTTGGCGTAGACTTTTTACCACTTGCAGACTAACATGAAGGATAAAGGGAGAGGTAGAGCCCTGTGCAGCCTGTTAGCGACTGAAGCAACTGCCGGCCATGTAACACGCGGCGATCGCGCAGGATACAGAGTGGAAAGACAAATCAGAAGTTTGGTGCAGATCTGACTCAGCAGATGGGAACATTTTCACAAGTTCTGTAGGTGTTGTAAGAAGAGGTGCTCTGATATCAAGGAAACCACACAAAGTAAAAAAAACCATGAAGATTATGCATGTGAAAGAGCAGTTGCTTTATTCCTTGTGTTCCATGTAGAGTCAGTTAACACAGCTGTGGGTAGGGAAGCCAGAGGCTAGAAAATACAATGGCAGGTCAGAAAAAAGAGCCACTGTTACTGTAAGCTCTAGGACACCCAACCCCAGGGACATCTGTCCTTCCTGCAGACCTACAAAGGCCGGTCTCTGCAGGAAGGAGAGCAGTGCTGCAGCTTGCCCTCGCTTCAGTTTCTGAACACGAAGCTCCCAACAATCTCAAAACCACCTGGTGACACCCAACACTCCCAAATCAAACGCCCCAGAAGACACTGAGAGCTCAGCTCTGAGTGAAGCCACCTAGAGATGCGGATTTGCTCATGGAGACCCACTAAACCATCCCAACAGCAGGTGAGACCAGAGACTTTCAAGGAAGCTGTCCTACAGATGAGCAGTTGCACTGTTCTCACCGAGTGCTGCCTTTTCTAATGGGCAGACGAAGCATCTCCTCATTTTCTACTACAGGGCAGCACAGTAGAAGATGTTGCCCATAAACCCACGTCTGAGGGGAACCACTGTCACAGCTGCTCGGAACTACCTTGGGGATCTGTTAAATGGGTGGTGAGGGGCGAGGAACATGTTTGTTCCAAACCCATCCTTCCACCTGCCATTTCCAGTCCTCGTTAGCCCCGACCTAGGATCCTCAAGAGATCCCGCTTCCTGCTGCTTCTATCCACTTTAGCTGAGTTCATAAAACCAGCTTCACTGGAAGAAGAAGAAAAAAAAAACCCAAAACCTTATGTTTTCGCACAAGGCGCTCCAAGCCCCAGGGACCTGTCACAGAGAACATGGTCTCTCCTGGGGGAGGACGCGGAGACAGACGGGGCAGCTCAGGGATGAAGCGGGAGAGGCTCCATGTAAAACCTAGGTGGGGGCAGCTGGGACCATGGTCCCGACCCAGGTGAGCTGGTTAGGATGCAGATGGGTCAGGGCGGAGAGATCCCAACCGAAGCCGGCTCTCCCGGAGCCAGGGCGAGTGCCAGACGCTCCAGCACAGCACCACAGCCCACTCCTCCTACCCCCAATTACCTTCCGTGCCATAACGAGCCCCGAGGGTTTGTGCTGCACTTTGGTGACCACACCACCATTGCCAGCCCCCAGTTCGGAGATCCTCTCAAAGTCATCGTCCTTCAGCTCGCCCACTTTGGCTTTCTGGGTGAGGAAAGCTTCCAGGCGCTTCTTCTGCTGCTCATCCAGCTCCAGTTCCTCAAGCTTTTTCTGAAGGTCCACCAGATTTGCCCTAGAGATGGGAGGAGGAGACAGGAGGAATGATCAGGACACTGTGAGGGCAGCGCCAGAGAAAGAGGTTTTTTTTTCTTTTAGGGAAGCAGAGGGAAATAACTGAAAACTGTCGTCTGACACATACTCAGCCCCTAATATAGCAGCGAGACTAAAGCAAAGCTCTGGAGAGAGGCAGGGCTCAGCTCTGGTGCTGACAGGGTCACACGGACAGGGAGACCCATGGTGCAATATCTGCCCAACACGCACATCTCCTCTGGAGAGGAGCTTTAGTGCAGTCAGCTGTTTTGGGAAAGCCAAGGAGTAGGGAAAATCCTTCAACCCTTAAAGAGGCAGCACAGCTCAGCCCGGAGAGAACGGCAGCACCAGCAACCTCTCCCTCTCCCGACATGGGAAGCCAAGCTTGGGTTTCACTGCGAAACACGAGGAGGGCTTTCCAGGGTGTCCAGCAACCCCCTGCTCCGTTACATCCCCCCCGCCACC